ATGAGCAGGTGGTCAAGATACTGCTTGACAACAAGGCCGACGTCAACGCGCAGGGTGGACGCTACGGTAATGCTTTGCATGTCGCTGCGTATAGAGGGCATACAGCGACGCTTGATCGCCTAATCATGAGCTGTAGCATCTCACAGCTCCAGGATCACTATGGACGGACACTACTATGGTGGGCTGCAGCTGGCGGCAAGGCTGTCGCTGTGGAAATGCTCATTGTGAAGCATAATCTAGACCCTTATACAGCTGACAATCTTGGGCGTAAGCCTTCCTGGATAGCAGCGAAGAAAGGACATAGCGAAGTATCGAAACTTCTCCAGGCGCATGACGAAGAATCCGATCCGAGCCCGACAGCGCCATCCAACAGGAGTCATGACGAATCGCTCCTTGAATGCGATGTATGCACCTCAACTATTTCGGAAACTGTCTCACATTACCATTGCAATATTTGCGCTGGTGGAAATTGGGATGTATGTGAAGACTGTAAGAGGTGTGGAGCCACTTGCGTAGAAACGGGTCACATTTTAACCAAAAAAACGATGCAAGACAGATCCAGATTACAGACCGCAGGTTGAACATGGCTTTTCATCAAACAACATGAGTATCGTAGAATTGTTCTCAGTGGGTCACATCCATGCATCCACATATCATTCTAGCTGACCAAACGAAGTTGCATATCAACATCTTTGGCGCAAATGTTCGCACCTTTAACCTTGTCTGAGATCGCACATCGGCGCTTCGTAATTTCTACCACATTCTTTCAGCCAACAGCACGTTGGGCACAGTCTGTCCGCTGCACGCAGATAATGTTGCAGCCAAAATAGAGGCAAAATGTACATACATTTGCACCCCTGAATTGGCTGGTAAATAGGCATGATATCTGCTGCGACAGATAAGACAACGCGTTGCATTGGGTTCAATTTGATTTGATTGAGAAGACGTGATATTCCTCGGAGGAGGTGATTGTTGTGTAGCAAATGCTTGGAACCTTCAAGATCGATGTCACACCCTCGCCAAAGAGAGTTTAGCTTCAATTACTGGTACAATACGTGTGACTGTGCCATGAGAAGCGTTCACACGTAATCGCATCCCCACCATCTACCAAATCTCACAGTGCTAAGCAAAATCAGATCTGGAGCAGAGGTAGTCCCACAGTGTGTATTTTATAGGTCTCGGCGTATTGAAATCCCACTTAGATGTATTTCTCAAAATCGGGCCTGTCTTCCTATCACGCCAGATTTAGAGAGTTCGCAACGGCTGTTAACAGAGTAGGGTTGGAAAGCGTCATAGTCTTTAGCGTTGATTGCGATATGACTGTCAGCACGACTACAACCGACGCACCTTCCTTTGCGCAAGATGTGAGCAGAAGAAGAAGTATCCAAAGAACAAGAACTTACTAAACACAGGCCTTTGCACGTGTGTGGTGAAGGTTAAGTAGGCTGAATATCGAATCCATCTTGATGAGGCCAGACTCTCGCTTACACACGATAGGTAGACGTTACCAGCACCAGGGATACCCTTTTAAGCGACCCTCTTTCGTTCCATCGAACAAGAACGGGATACGCCTGGAGGGTCCTATGCTTTTGTATTGGCATTAACACATGTAGACTGATTTACCCTCCTCCTCCCAATCTTCGAAATGACAATCTTTAAGGCATCTTCAACGTGCAGATGCGAACGCCGCCACCCTCGTCAACGAAGTTTGGTCCATGCGAAAGAGTCCAATACCGGTAATTCTCTTGAAACCATCTACTATATGCTTTTAGAGAGCGTCTACTTGAACATGGCGACACTGCAAGAAAACGCCATTGGTCCAGGCTTCAGCTCGAGCTACCAAGGCTTCTCAAATCTCAATAGTTCGCTGCAATTGCCTAGCTTGGTAGTCTAAGACAGGCGCGCTCTGATTCAACTTGTGAGTGATTGTCAGCTCTATCCATCACCCTCCAATGTTTGTGAGCACCATTGTGCTTTCCGAACAACCTCCTTGTCGCGCTTGCCACGCATCAAGCTCAGCAAACACGTCTCAGCGATGCACTCATCACAATATACAACACAGCTCACTCACACCTCATAACGACTACTCTCTTTCATTATCACTACATCACACAGGTTTATCGGACATTCCCTACAGTCGCCAAGATGCCAGGAATCTGTCCCGACGACGCGTCAGGCTTTTCCAGTAACACACAACGCCTTCTCAACGAGTTCCCATTGTCCATTCGTTCGCTTTCCGATTCTCGAGGTTATGTCGCAAACGCCAGCACTCGTGCGGACCGCCTAGCTCAAGGTGTGCAAACGCTTGCGCGGGACTTGTCACTATGTAAGAGACGTAACGGCTGGGACACATTCACGTCTGTTGTGACTAAGATAGCTGTGTAACTTCCCCAATTAATGCCAGTGCTAACGATGAAGTTGTAGTGCACAGAGAAAGAGAAGTGCCCCAACCACGAAACGAGCTATTGCGAATACAATCACATCTCAGCATCCTGCAAGCCGAACCCCAGTCTGCACAAGACGTCGAGCTTTCTCAACTCAGAAGAGAAACAGATGCTACACTTGCTTCGATATATGATAGTGACTACCCGTCTCAACCGACTTCGTCCTCTATCGCGACAATAATGCCAAATGGTGGCCGCGTCCCCATTTTACGCCAGATTGCGTACCGAGAACAACATGAGAAGGAGTTCGAGCGATCCCTCGAATACATCCAGATACAGTGCAGGATACTCAAATATTCCGACAAGCACGACACAGAGATCACTCCCCGGCAAGCATACAAATGGACAGCCAACACCGTTCCAAGAACCCAACGGCCGCAGCCAGTGCAAGCACTACGCTTATGCTACTACATTCGCTCGTTAGGCTTCGATACTTACGCCGACATCAAGCCATCACAGGATCCGGAGACTGGAATCGACGACACCGCGTTACGTCTCTTTGTCGCCAACCCGGCTAGTGAGAAGCGAGGTTTGGGCCACGATCATCTGTACTGGTACCAGCGTCTTAGAACGGGCGAGGTGATCTCGAAACCGTACCAGCTACGGCGTTCGGAAAGACCCCGACTCAGGCTTGACACCGGGTCTGATATCAACACGGATACGATCAACTAGGCGTTCGATCGTCGTTCCAATGGAACGGCTCAGATGCGTGGCGGTGAAGCTGAAGAATACCCTTGCTATAGCCTTAGCAAGCAGGAAATTGGGCAGCAGCGAGTGCAACGGAGACACGCAGAGCTCCGAGCAGGGCGCGAGCGCCTAGAGCAGGAACTCGCGCATCTGGAACTTGAAGCGATGCAGCGGGCACATGGACGGGCATTGCAGCGAGATACGCCTGAAAGTCAGTGTCTATCGACCGAACTGCGATTTTAGTGGGTGAATAATCGTGCCGTCGAGTACATCAAGGTCGAAGCAGACACTTTCAGGGTTGTTTGTGCATCTCGCTTCGAGGTAAGAAGCTTTTAACATGAACCTGAATGCAAACTGACGTCGACTTCAGGCAAAGACCTACACACGGCTTTCCGAAGACTTTTCATCAGCGCGTGTCTACAGGTGGTGTTTTGTTCAACGACGCTATCCTGGGGAAGGGCTCCGCTTGGATGATGACTGATGCGGCTTTGTACTGCCGGAGACACCCCGACTGAGGAACCATTGTCACTGTTACGTGGGAGAGTGTGCGCAGCCACGACGACCCTCGATATGATAGGACGAGGGATTGGTGGAGAGGGATTTGCTGCAGACGGAGAAGTTATATGGGTTCTCGCAGCAGAACAAGATATTGTAGCCTTACATGTGAGCCTGACATTACTCGAAATTTCTGTAACTGCACGGGACCTTCACCTGTTCGAAGGCTTGATGTCTCTACGCCTCTGCTTGAGTGGCTTGCTTGCATTGTGACGTACCCCTCAAGCGACCGCTACACCTGAGGCATTTGCATCGAAGCAAGGGTCCATACTTTGCCATTGCCAGTGTTCGTCAGACCTGAGTAAGTTGCACCATTGCCAGTCGAGCTGGTCTTGCCGAATGTTGCGTCCGCGCTCGCAAGCGTGATAATAGCGTTCATTTGCATCTGCGCCCGACATCGCAGAATCGGGGGATGAAGCCCGCACCGAGCTTTGACAGGCTTTGCGGAAGTTTCGCTCTACGTGTACCGAGGCTCTCGTGTTCGGACTCGTGGTGGCTTTGTGCGAGCGAAGTAAGTTGCCAGGGGGCTCGAGATGGACGGGAAGTTCGCTGGTAAGGGCAAGGGCAAGGGTTCACACAGGTGTTGTGGAGATTGTAGACAGATATGGCACGCGCGAATGCTGATGGAGGTCGAGAGGTGGTGGTTTTCGTCCTGTGGGCTTCAGATGCTGTCAAGAGGGTATTGGCACTGACGTGGAAGCGGTAAAGCTGACGGTCGCATTGCGGTGAAGCGAAATGAATGTGTCTGTGCCTAAGATACCGAGGATAACGGGAGTACAAACCGAAAAGAGGCAGCAGGAGGGTAGCGACAATGTAAGGAAGTGCACCAAGTGGAGAGAACGATGTCGGGCTCCCACTCTGTACATATATAAGAGGAGAAAGCGATGGAGTGACACGTCCAAGTCGAGAGTGATGCTGTAGTGCAGCATGAATGACTGCAGCTTGCTCGTTCATCTTCACAATATGTAATACCCAACAACAGACCTGGAACATAGAGCGTGAGGGAAGGGCAGAAACTATCGACCTACCTTCCGATACATGCGTTCTTTCTGCAACTCGCGATACCTACCTTGAAGATACAGTTGCAATGTACACGCTCTTCTACACACGCCGACACCCACAGGAGCAACTAAGTAAAGAGGGACTTGCTCCAGCCGTGCGTATTGACTGAAGACCCAAAGCACGCGCATAATCGACCTTCGGTGCGGTGAACGAAGGAAAATGAGGTGAGGTTGCTGCAGGCACCGCCGCCCTCGCTCGTCTGAGCACAAGCTGACATGCACCTCAGCCGCACCCAGCGAATTGCAGCATCAGCCTCTGCCGAGAACACCCTCCGAGCATTATCACACACCCGGTGCGCACCAGTGCGTGACCGCTGGCTATTGTCGGCCGTGCGAGCGCCGATGCTTTCTTCTGGAAGCCGCGCGCCATATTCGGGGGATGATCGGCGGGATCCGCAGCGCTGTGCGGGCGGGAAAGGAAAGGGAAGGGAAGGTACAACATGGCTGTGGCAAGAAAGGCGAGCGCTGCGGCAGTGATGGGCAGGCACCACAGGGGAGTGCGGGGATACGCGGGCGGCGAGGATATGCGTGACTGCAGCTTGTATTGTGTACAGGCAATAATGCGCACTGCGATTTCGAGTGCTATGTTGATGCTTGTGAAGATGGGGAAAGACATGACGTCACTGTTTCGATTGGATCTGGGATGCTAACCATCACCGATGACCTTGCTTGTGACGACTTGCAGCACGGTGTTTTTGCAACCCCACATGGTACGACCGCCGTGATGCATGGCCAGCATGGCACCTCAAGCCGTTATGCGCAAAACGCGCATCGTGTGCATATCCGACACGCACAACAACACGCCCAAGCTACCCCCGGGCGACGTCTTGATCCACGCCGGCGACCTGACGAACCAGGGCTCGTATGATGAGCTGGAGCGAAGCGTGGCGTGGCTTGAGAAGGCGCTTTTTGAGGTGAAGATTGTTGTTGCGGGTAGTGTGCAATGCTGCGAAATCGTGTAGAGCGCGAACTGACTGGCATACAGGCAACCATGAGATTACGCTCGACGAGCCGTTCTATGAGGAGAAGGGCAGTCGCTGGAAGTGGCCTGCGCGGCAGAGTCCGAGAGGGTGCTTGAAGCTGCTGCGGGAGTCGAGCACGATTACTTACCTTGAGAACGAGTCTAAAACGGTACACTTGCGAAAGCCAACGGGGCCGCAGACGTGCTTCAAGGTGTTTGGAAGTCCGAGTACGCCTGGGCCTGGCAGCTGGGCATTCGAGTATCAAGAGAAGGACGCGGAGAGATTGTGGTCGGGGATTCCTGAGGACGCCGATATCGTGGTATCGCACACGCCACCGAAGGGGCACTGCGATGCGGCTACGAAGAACGACCGGTCTGGATGCCCTGCGCTGTTGCAGAGATTGGCTGTTGTTAGGCCAGCGCTGCATGTATGCGGTCATATTCATGAGGGTCGAGGGATTCAGCGTCTCCTGTGGAGTCCATCCCGCAGCGACAGCCTTGTCGAGAGCGTCAAGTTTTGGCAGGACCCGGGACGCGGCAGCAAGAAGCTGTCTTCACTGGATCTTACAGCCAAGTCAGGGCATCCTATGGGCAATAGCGTTGCTGTAACACGTCAGACCCATTCTGACTCGCTGCAGCGTAGTCTTGGGGGCCCGTCTTGCCTATCAATGCCTGGACTTGAAGCCACTCAGCCTGATGAAGATAACCTAAGCTCAACGTCGTCGAGCGACTTGAGCCTCACCGAGCCTGCCGTCCAAGAAAGTGAGGCGCGCGGGAGAATTGGGGATAGCGGGGTTGTGGAGCAAAAGTGTGGTGAAGATGCATCCAGGGCAGCCTTGCAAGGCGATTCAGGCAGTCAGTCCAGATCGTCCAGATACGAGGATCGGCTCGCGACTGTGATCATCAATGCTGCATTCCTTGGGCCTAGAGTACATGGCAGAACGGCTGGTACCAACAAGCCCATCGTGGTCGACATGGACTTGCCAGTCTGGCATATTGACGAGGAGGACGAAGATGTACGATGATGTAGCGGGCTGCAAGCACCCGTGTTTGCAGCGCTGAATGATCTCATCGGCGGTGTTGACTTGCTTCGAATCCACTTTGCCCAACGTCGTGACTTTCTACGCTCAATTGAAGACGACCACGTCGAGGAACTCGCATTGCCGGCTTGTGGACAGCATCTGGTGATTGGGTGTTGTCGCGCTAGCGCCCCCGCTTCGAGGCTTCTGAAATGTACAAGCGTACTTTATCAACCACTCAAACGGGAGAACTACCGCCGACTAATGTCTGTCAACTCTGGTAGTGCCCGGGACGGATCGAGCGCTCAGAATCTGTTGCATCAGGCCTGAGCGAAGTTGCCAGTTGCCGCGGTGCAAATCCTCCACAGGTGGTCGGGGATCCTGGCCTGGTGCCAGGGCGCGCACACAAGTTTCCCGAGACGAGGCAACGGGTGCGCAAAAGGAAGCAAGCGTGCCGAAGCCGCATGACTGCTCAGGTACTCTGTTTGAGGGCCGTCGTGTCTCGGATTCCACGAGATGCTGGATCATTCGAGCAGTCTTAAGAACGCGCACTCGTCATGGGCCGATTGCTTCACTCTCACGGCTGCAGTTGGTCACGTCTCGCAAATGTCTTTCAGCGGTGAAGTGTTTCCCTGATTGGCAGTGATTACAGTGTGGGGGTGTCAGTCGGAAGCACAAAGATCATTTTGGCGGTTTCTCGATCATGCAGGCTCGTTCCGTACGTGTCTGACCATGTGGTCGCGTAGAGGCCTGATTGGACCTGATTGGACGTGTGTTTCGTAGCCGCTGGTGCCCGCTGCAGTAGAAAGTGCAGCGAATGTTGGGAGTCCAGGGCGCCTTCCAATCAGAGCCGCAAAAACTCGGCGATTCAAGAAGTGGCTCACAGAAGGTTGCGAGCTCGCCTGCTGAGGATGAGTGCCACTGAGCTTCCCTTCCAGAGCGTGCTGATGCAGGGCAGGCTGAGGGCCGCGTGTGGAGTGGAGCCCGGAGTGCTGAGAGTGTGCGGACAGGGCGGTGGGCTTGCAGCAGCGGCGCGAGAATGTGCTGTGCTGCTGAGGGTAGCGCGAGAGGAGAGCGCCCGCTATGGAGACACACTAGGGAGCCTGACGCAGCCAGCATGCGGGACCTTCTCATCACGCTCGGCAGCGTCCTCGAAAGCAGTATGGACGGGCATAGCCTCCTGCGAAGAGTGTCAGTGTGCCTGTGTCCTAAATGCAGTCCGTTCCTCGGTCTGCCGATGCCCTTTGTTCACGCTTACTGTTCACAACTAATCTTCTGTCGCACACAATACCACACCGGGCCCCTTTGGACCCCTTTGGACCCTTCTGCTTCTATATTTCGATTTTGTGCACCCACATCGATCCCATCGTAGCATCGTCGTAGCATCGTCTGGGACGCGGCCTGCGAGCAGCCGGATCTCTGGGCGTGGGCATTGCGTTGACGTAGCTCCTCGTGCACCAGCTCACCGCTTTACACCGCAAGTGGATCAGGTTTCCCTCGCAACAAAGGATCGCTGAGCGAGCCAAACGGTACTCAGCCTCGCTGCCCGCTTTGTAAGAGCAGCCGATATCTTTGTCCGCCATTCTCTGCATTGTTGTCCCCCTGAAGTCGGGCTGCCACGAGCTTCTCCAGGTTTCTCTCCATCGCTGTCAGGGCAGCCGGCCTGCTAGAACCGCTTAGCTCAACACCGCCTAAGCCGCAGCATCACATCCCCAACCTTACTGCAGGAACACGGGACGCTTCGACAGCCAACAAATTATCCTCTTTTAATACCGTGACAGCGCACGTCGTCCAGGTCTTGCCGCTTGACATTTCTGCTGCACAATTCTCAACTTTGCCACAGCGGCTCCAGCCACCTCTGCCGCGCACTGCCGCCACAGCCCGACGTTTCGCCGATTCAGGTCAACGCCGCCTACTGGCCCCTTGTATCCAACAAAAGCCCAACTGCCCCTTGCAACTGCGCATTGCGGCGTCAGGCTCCTACTAAAGCAACCTTTACCATCCCTGCATTAAGGCGCTCCACCGCGCAGACACGACGCAGACGACGCAGACACGACGCAGAAACGACGCAGACACGACGCCATGTCTACCGAACCTCTGCCAGATCACTACCGGGCCCTCGGGATAGACAAGGACGCCGATGCCGCGACCATCAAGAAGACATACCGCAAGCTCGTCCTCACCTGCCACCCCGACAAGGTCACCGACGAGGCCCTGAAGGCGCAGAAGCAGGACGAGTTCCACAAGATCCAGCAGGCCTACGAGACGCTGAGCGATGAGACGCGCCGGGCGACGTACGAGGCCGAGCTGAGGCTCCAGCTGCTGCGTCGCGAGAAGCTTGCCCGCATTGCCACCGAGCCAAAGACCACACGCTTTGCACAACCCGCTTCTGGCGGCTCTCACACTGCCCACACTGCCCATACTGCCCACACAGCCCACATGGCTTCGCGTTACGCCACCGAGGAGCGCAGACCTTCAGGCGCAACCCCGTCGCGCCGCAGCGAGCACGACGACGACTACTACCGCTCGAGCCGCAAAGACTCGTACTTCCCCGCGCAGAGACGCCAGTCGCCGAGGCCCAGCCCGTCTTCGCGATCCTCCAGGGAAAAGGTCGAGAAGGAAGTCCGGAGAGAGAAGGCCGCTACCGACCGCACGCGATCGAGCACGCAGAAGACGCGCGACAGCGAACGCCGAGACCGCACCGCCCGCTTCCCGGTCGAGAGCGAGGGCTCGTCTGAGGAGGAGCGCGCCCGCTTCGTCTACCAGACGCGCCCCGCCGAGGACGACTCACGTCGCCGGGAGGAGTACCGCAGAGAGGACCGCAGGGACAGCCGCTACGACGTCATGTTCGAGAACACGTCCCCCCGCAAGCTGAGCGTGCAGCTGACAAGAGAAGAAGCGGCCAAACGCTACATCTTGAAGTCGCGCGCCACCGGCGCCACCGGCGCCGCCGCCGACACGCGTCCGTCGCCCGCCCGGACCACGTCGCGAGACTACTTCGAGCCCGGCAGCCGCTCCTCCCGGCACCGAGAGGTGCGCCCGGACCCTGCACCGCGCCGGTCATCTGCTCGTCCCAAGGAGTCATCGCGTGGCGCCCAGGACATTGTCGACTGGGAAAAGCCGACGTTCGCCCAGTCGGCTTCGTCGCCCGCCGACATTCGCATCCCACCCCAGCGCTCCGCGACTGATTCATACCGTCGCTCCGAGCGTTCGCCACCACGCGCCCCCGGTCTGAACCGCTCCGCCACAATGCCCATGAACGCAGGCTCAGAGGCTGGCGGATCGCGCCGCGAAGCTAGGAGGGAACCTGGCCGCTCTGGTCTCCGCAACGAGGCCCCCAGCAGCTCGGAACGCAGCACATACCCGAGTATCCCCGTGCCTCAGCAGAGCAAGACATACTACACATACAGCCAAGCCGAAGGAGGCGTAAAAGTCTCCGAGGCGCCCGCACACCACACCGTCCTCCGCGAACCAGGACGCACTCGCCACCGCTCGCCTTCGCCGATTGGCAAGCCCCCCATGGGCGCCAACCGACCTGGCTTGCACTCCGCCAAGACGTACGCCCCTGGTCGCTCGAGTCGCCAATCCTCTCCTGTGCGCGAGGAGCGCGGCCGCACCGAGAGGATGAAGTACGGCGAGATGCCCTCCGACTACACCCGCAGACGCGGCATAGGCGAGCGCCAGTCGAGCTACGACACCCACAACGTCTCCTATGCACCAAAGTACGGGCCTGAGGACGTCAAATGGGCATCGAGGGGCAGGGAGTACGAGGAGCGCGCCCCCAAGCCCGGACTCGGTCGCGTCGCCACCTACGTGTACTGATTGCTCACATGCCTGCCAAGCATCACTTCCGGCACGTTTCCGCGTTTGATCGCTTTGAACCGCGATGGCTGCACATGTCTGGGTGAGGCGACGAATCGCACGCCACCAACGGGGAGGAGTACATATTACGAAACCACATAGCTGCAGCTGGATACCTACATCTGGACATTCCATTTCCACCACACATGATTGGCGTTACACGGCGTTTTTTTTGGGGGGGCATTTACATCACTCGGCCGCAAGTGCTGCTCGGCGTCGAGTCTTTTTTTCTATTGACGGTCGTAACAGCTTCGCGCTCAACGACCACTTTGGCAGCGAAATCGGCCGCACTCATTTGAAGACACTCGCTTGAAGACACTCGCTTGTAGATGTGGATTTTGATACTGCATTGTTTCCCGATAGCAGGGGCGCACATCAGAAACCAGGACGAGGGGGGATACGGATGGACGGAGATAGTAACGAATCAAATATCAACTGAACTTTATCAAACCGTGTCGTTGCGATACTCAATCAGCGATCCAAGCCGTGTACTTCCAATCCAATTCCCGCTAACCAATACCTCCCAAGATGTCTATGCCCTGCTCGATACGTCGTGTACCGGAGAAGGGGGGGTGCTCACACTTCATCCCCAGCCATCCTCCTGCGCTGCGGTGGCCGTCGTGGAAACGACCCCGGCGTCGTAGCCAATGCAACGAATTGTATACACCTCCTGATCCCCTGCCAGGGAGGTACTCGGCACCCCCTCGTCGGCGTCGAGAGTAGATACGGAGGAAGCGCGCCCATCCTTGACATCTGATGTCTCGACGTCTGATCTCTCGACGTCTGATGTCTCGACCGGTGAGCTCGCGCGCCGCAGCGCAGGCCACTCATCGTCGTTCTCCAGATCCAGTGTCCGTCCGTAGCAGGGCGGTATAAGCACCCGTCGCAGCGGCTCATCGCTTACCTGCACGCCCTGGGGCAGAGCAGCGTCGTCGTGCGCCCCGATGAGCCTTGCAGCGACACCATCCATCTTTGCCAGTGCAACGCTGCGCTGCATTTCCACGCGCACGGCGTACGAATCCCACCACTGCGCCCACCACGCCGGAAACCCGTCGGGCAGGTTGAACCACATCTGCTCCGCGCTCCCGGCCCGCAGGTGGAAGTGAACCTTGTCAACCAGGTAGCGCACCATGCTGTACACGAAGGGCGCGCACGGCCCGTCGTCGGCCCGGAAGAGGTTGTCACGATGCTGCAGCGGCGTGTTAGTCTCGGGGTGCGCGCGCCAGCTCCACGCCCGTTCGCCCAGCAGCACACACATGCGCTCGAAGATTATGCGTGCGAGCCCACTGCGCCGTGTGTCATGCACCCCGGTCGAGTCAAAGTAGTGGCAGTGCCGGTGCGGGCGGTCGAAGGCGAGCAGGCTCCAGTGCGAGCCGTTGGCGTTCGCGTTGGAGGCGGCGTCGATGCCGTCGTTGAGCGGGATGAAGATCCATGTCGCGCTGAGAAATTTGGCGGCGCTGTTTTGCTGCGCGCTTGCGAGATCGCGGTACAGGAGCTGCGTGTCGACGCTGTTGCCGACTGTGATGCCGTTCGCGGCGCAGTTTGTCGAGGCCGCGAGCACGGAGAGCGATGCGTCGAGGCCGTCGTCTTGCATCCAGCATTCTTCGCCTGTCGTGTGGAGCATGTAGTGCCACTGCTTGTTTGTGATGCTGACGAGCTCGTGGCTGAGGTACGTGTCGTCCGTGAAAGGCGGGTCCGTGAAGGCGCCGTCGCGATACTGAAACTCCACGAAGCGAGCTGGGTTTGGGAAGCCAAGGGGAGGCGTGGAGAAAGGTGCACGCTCGAGCTCATGGTGCGTGGGGACGCTCTCGAATTCCCATGGTCTCTGTGAGGCTAGCGTTAGCGAGTGCAATGCTGAGGGCTAAAGGTAGTCGGTGAGTCGAGGTCGAGGTCTGGGAAGGCAAAATAATATAGGACCTACCTCTTGTGTGGCTCCTTGGAAACGCTCAATGAGCCTGCGGTCGCGTGCCTGTCGACATTGGTCGTTAGCGCTTGAAGCAGTTCAGGTTACGTAGAAGCGAGGCCTTCACGTCTGCATATCTGATGATGATGTTGACTTACCCGCTTGACTCTATCTCTGTCGAAGCCTTTGTGAACGTCGATACTGTAACGACGCTTGTGCAGTGGAGGTTTCGTGCGCCTCGTTGGCACGTGATGATGTCGCTGATAATCGCGCAAAGCAAGCGCAAGCATCCTCTTCGTGCGAACATGCATCATACGCCTAGTGTTGGCATAGATGTGTGCTTGACGATCGCGTGCGTCGAGCACGTCTGGGGTTTCGCGGAAAGACTGCATCTTTTGCACTTCCTCCCTCGTTACCTTTCGAGCATTGGGCCAGCAAGCAAAGGCCTCGGAGACCTTTGGATGCTTCTGCGAGTAATCTTCAGGATCTGGGGAAAGTGTTGAGGGGCGAGAATCAGTCTCAGCTGGCGTTGCTGAGCTGATTGATCGAGGTGTGGGTGAAGGTGATACATCACCGCGTTTACGCTTGGCGCCGTGCATGTTTGCTTTCACTTGCCCGCAGAACTGAAACAAAGTGCGGACTGTCTTGAAAGTGCAGTGTCGCTTGTGTCGCGGACAATCAAAAGGAATTGAGAAGTGATGGACAAAGACGCGTATAGTGGGAACGGCTTTGACCAAGCAAAACCGCATAGGTACAGAGAAGGTTTTTGCACTGGATTGTGCAAATAGACTAAAAAAGACTACGAGGAAATTCTAGTCGATTTGAAAAATACAGACCAATTATGGCCAATACAGACCAATAATGGCCAATACAGATCAATAATGGCCAAGCCTGGGTGAGCCATGGGCGGAGGTGGAAAAAAGGGTCTCATTACTGGACAGTATACACACAAACTGGCGACAGACAGCGCCTGCACCTGTATACAGTTCACTACAGAGGGTAACGGGAACTCACCATTGCTCACAACGATGCAGGATTCTCCATAGATATACCTCTGCGAATGTAGGTCCGTCGGCAAGCTCCACGAGTCTTCCAGCGCTGTAAAGACTGGACCTTCAAGATACTGGACGCAATCTGTCCGCATGTGTGAATTCTGATGAGCCAAAGGCTCGTAGATCCTGCAGCTAGTCATGTGACATCGACGCCGTCAGAGAACGTGGGTCGGTGTCATTGCTAGTACTGATTTCCATTGCAGCCACGACGACTGCTCTGACTGACATGAGCAGGTCCTGCTATCCGTCGACCTGTTCAACAGATTCAGGTAAACCGTGTGTGACGTCCGGACCGACTCTTGCGATGCCCATGAGAAGCTGTGTCTAGGACGCGCAAATTAGGCGATGCTGCGCAAGGTTGACTACACAAGACCCATTTGCGTCAACACTGCACCCGACAAGAACTGTGTAATCATTTTGAACTCCAGCCGGAGGCGAAGACACCGAATTATCGACGTGAATGATCGTGATCTCCACATGAGCTCGTGAAAAGCACCTCGTTCCAAGGTTCGCGTCCGCTAAGAGACATCGATGAATTGCTGCGTTTACGGACGTGTAAAGAAGGATGCAAGGCACAGAGCAGCAGGAAATGACGAGACTTGATGTCACGGCTAGCGTGATGCGCTAAGGGTAGCCGCACGCAGATCAACGGGAATCTGCTGTTTCAGCACCAAGCGAAAGCCTGTCTCGACGCGTCGCAACGCGTTGGTTTGTTCTCCGCTGACATCCGAGTCCAGACGGTGGACGGTGTCGACGATATTGTGCACAAGGCGGAGAGCGATTCGTCCGCGAACACGTCCACAAGTCAGCAAAAGGCTGCGCTGTTCGCAGTCTCATGTTGGTTCCTCGTCAGAGCAACGTACGACGCGGCGCACGGGTGCGAACACCTCCAGCCTCTTCAGCCACATTTGCAGCTGGGCTGGCTGTCAGACTGAAAGCCTGGCGATTTCGATTGTTTACAAGGCTGACCAGAAGGTGGTGACATGACGACTGCCGAACTGCGCGCAAACGGCAGGTGAAATACAAGGTGAAGATGAGAGGCAGCGATCAAAGCGCGACCTCTTCAAACAGGATGACGATGTGGCCTGAAAGCTGAAAAGCTGGAGAGACGAAAGCCAGCAAGCCCAAGCGCGTCGAACCGGGGACGCGAACTGTGAGGCGGTGATCAATGCTGCCTAGCGCCTTCCTCCAGGCCACCTTGTGCATATCAAATAAAGAAAGTGCGATAGCTGCGCAGCAGCTGCAGCCATCTACCACGCGCAAAGTATCATCAAAGTTATCACCGTCGCAGCCACCGTTGCAAGTAGAAAGCTCTAGCGACGGAAACTGGTCGCTTTAGGTGGCTTACCGGCGCTGTCGCGGTAGCAAAAATTTCGACTTTCTTCACTCCCTGATCTAACGCTAGTCAAGAACGGCTAGCGCACTAACTGTTCCTGACACACGCGATATTTAATGCTGTCCAGGTGCATCTCTTAGATAGGCCCGCAGCCCACACTCTCCGAACCAGCACTCCCGGGGCGCACGCGTTACCATCCATCACGTGACACTACCACAACGCGTTCCAGTGCAGCCTCGCGCAAAAGTGCTCGATCCATGGAATCGCCCAAGTGATCCAGTAATTTTTAATTAATCTCTGAATAAGCCTCGCTGAACGGCGAGCGGCCGGCTGTCGCCAGAATGAGGTATGGTGCTAGTACCTGCATGTCTCGAGGATGCCCGCTAATACCCTGATAGTGCTACAAGATTGGACCGACTCGTAACGTAAGTCTACCCTTCACTTTACTCTGCACTGGTACCTATTGTTTTTCGGCAAGCAATGCAACCTGTTCTTGCTTTTGCGAAAGCCTATTCCCACATTTACACTTCGATGCACTCCATTCGTACCTCGATGTATCCTCGCTGACCGTGCCAAGGCTCCTTGAGACAGGCAGCACAGCATTGATTCGGAACACAGCAGCTGAACAATTGGCCGATGTCCAGAAACACCACCCCGAGGACTTGTTCAACCTTCTCAACCGTGTCGTCCCATTCTTGCGATCGAAGAGCTGGGAGACCCGTGTTGCTGCTGCAAAAGCAGTCGGCGGCATTGTTGCCAACGCTGAGAAGTACGATCCAAACGCTGAAGATGAGCCCGTCAAATCGGAGGTCAAGGCAGAGACCAATGGTCACGCAAAAGAGGAGGACAACGATGATGCAGCTGTCAAGAAAGAAGAGAATGGCGATGTCGAAATGTCGCTGGCGCCTTCACTAACTGGCAAATTCGATCTTAACACACTCGACATTGCTGCCATTCTGAAGGATGGGAGTCACCTCGTTGGATCTGCTAGCAAAGAACTGGAATTCAGGCTACTATCGATGAGCCCTGCAGACCGACTTGCGTATCAGAAGGAGGTTCTACCGAAGCGACTTGGGCTCGAAGGTCCTTTTGCTGAGATAACTGCTGTGCCTGCGGATGAGATCGTCGTGCAGACCCCCGGACTACGTACGCCAGCCATTCACCGCATCGACACAAACCTTGCAAGGTCAGATACCCTCAACTCTGCGGCGTCACCTCCTGCGGCTACACCAACAGGTGATCAGCCGTCTCTCAGCAAGCGCCAACTCAACGCACAGAAGCGCAAGCAGAAGAATGCACAGAAGAACAATAAAGGAGTCACCGTTGACTTTAACGAGCCTGGTTCTAGGAAGCCGTCTCAACCGGACGCCCTTCAAACGCCCGCCCGCATGACGCCGCATCCCTCATCGCTGAAGCAGGAGAAGTCTGAGAACGGGGAAGCTGAGGTCGTCGACGACTACTTCTCGCTGGAGCGCAAAGGTGGAGACGATGACGCCAAGTTTGTCAAGGAGTTCAAGGGTGCCGAGATCCCTGAGAAGTCTTGCTTCGAAGGCGAGTCGACCGAGTCTGGACTAGAATGGCCTTTTGGGCGCGTTTGCGATTATCTCGCTCTTGAGATGTTCGATCATGCCTGGGAAGTCCGCCACGGAGCTTCTATGGGCATCCGAGAAGTACTGCGAGTCCATGGTGCCGGCGCTGGCAGGGTCAAGGGGATGACAAGAGCGGAGAACGACAGGCTAAATCAGGAATGGCTCAATGATCTGGCTTGCCGGATATGCTGCATCTTCATGCTCGACCGTTTCGCCGACTACACATCAGACACCGCCGTTGCACCCATCAGGGAAACTGCCGGACAAGCACTTGGCTCGGTACTGCAGCATCTCTCGCACGAGAACGTCATCGCTACGTTCAACGTACTCCACAACCTCATCAAGAAAGGTCTTGAGGTAGAGAGCGGCTGGCATTCCTCACAGGGTGGCATGATCGGTCTCCGGTACCTTGTAGCAGTACGAAATGACTTGCTTCGGGAAGATGGGACACTCATGGACGGTGTTCTAGCTGCAGTTATTCAAGGCTTGGGCAACTTTGACGACGACATTCGAGCCCTGAGTGCAGCAACGCTCATTCCAGTCGCTAAAGACTTCGTTGAAATGCGGCCCAAAGCGATGGAGGGCCTCATGAACCAGGTCTGGTCATGCTTTGACGGACTGCAGGATGACCTTACAGCTAGCACCGGCTCGATTATGGATCTTCTCGCCAAGCTGTGCAGCTTCCCTCAGGTCCTTGCAGCCATGCAGGCCAACGCAGAGAGAGACCCGACACAATCTTTCCTCGAGCTTGTACCTCGCCTCTTCCCATTCCTCCGACACACCATCACCAGCGTCCGTGCTGCTGTACTTCGCGCATTGAGTACATTCCTCGACATTCAGAGTGCGGGATCAGCTGGATGGATTGACAGCAAGGCACTTCAACTGATCTTCCAGAATATCCTCCTGGAGCGTAACGAGGGCGTCCTGAAGCGGTCGATGAAGCTATGGAACACCATGGTCGACAACTCGGGAGGTGAGATTGCGACCCACCTTGAGCCGATCCTCAACTCCATCATCCCGCTCAGTCTGACGCCGATTGGGGTTTCTCGCCACCCGATTGCCATGGATGTGTCACTACTTATCAAGCCTTCTGGACAAATGATGGGTCCAGCACCAGCCTCAACACCCAGTCGTCGATCGACACCCCCCGCAGGGATCGAACCACCTAAGAAGAGGAAGAAGTCTCGCCACGGAAAAGAGGACATCTCCGCGCCAATCCCGTCGTCTGTATCCCACAACGTTGACGGACATATGATCGGCGGTGACCTTGAGCTTATCGGTGCTGACGTAATGATTCGTTCCCGTGCATCCGCAGCACAAGCTCTGGGTAAGGCTATTGCAGCTTGGCCTACAGAGACCCGAGTTTCCATCTTCGGCCATAGATTGTTGCCGCCACTGTCATCGACCAGTTCTACTACACAATTGACAGCGGCTATGATCATCGAAGAATTTGGCAAGAACTTGACCGCCAAGGATGCCTTGGCCGACCTTCTCGCTGAGGCTCTCGTCCCGATTGTCGAGGGAGACCGACCAGCGGCCTACGAGGATCTCGTACCCAAGCTTCAGATTGTGCGCACACAGTGCACTGCCCTCCTCAACATCTTCAGAGAAGGCCATGTCCAGAACCTGCCCCCTCTGGCGGTCGTTGTGCAGGGCGATCCAGCGGCCAGCCAGTATGCTTTTGGTGTCGCTGATGCCGAGAAGCTAGTCACTATACAGTTCGAGAAGTTAAAGAAGGCGATGACACCATCAGCTCGTATGGTCGCTGCTGCCAACTTGGACGTGTCTCGAAAGGAAGTCGAGGCCAGCTTGCAAGAGGCCAAAGATATCAAGGAAGAGCGGGATATCCGCATCAAGGCAGCTGCGGCTGGAGGTCTCATCTGGCTCAGCTCTCCTCCCAAGAAGCCCCAGCATCCGATCAAGGCGATGATGGACAGTGTCAAAAAAGAGGAGAACGTCCTATTGCAGAAGAGGTCTGCTGCGGCTGTTGCCCGCTACATTGTCCATCTTGTTGATGGCAACAAGGGCGTGGTCGTCAAGAAAGTGGTGGGCAACCTCGTCAAGTTCTACTGTATGGAGACAGCAGAGACCCCGGAGTTCAACGGTCAAGGCCATATCGAAACCGGCATTCTAACCCTGAAGAAGGATGAAGATGTCCGTGATCACCCAGATGCTGCCAAATTTGCGGAAGAGTCGAGAGCCGCCAGAATCACCAAGCGCGGCGCCCGCGAAGCCCTCGAGCAGGTTGTCGCGCAGTTCGGTGCGGAGATCTTCCAGAAAGTCCCAACTCTGGAAGATTTGATCCAGCGACCCATCAAGCAGGCTTTCGCCGATGCGACACTCCCTGCAGAGATTGCGAAAGAGGATGGCGTCTTTGGTCAAGAGGTTGTTGACGCTTTGTCAACTCTGCGTGCGCTGGTTGGCAGCTTCCACCCCGACGTACGCAGCTTCATCAAGGATCTGCTTCCATTTGTTGCAAGGGCTTTGCAGAGCAAGCTTTACGTTCTCCGCTATGCTGCCGCAAAGTGCTTCGCAACCATCTGCAGTGTCATGTCTGTTGAAGCCTTCACGCTACTCGTAGAAGTTGTTCTGCCCACTATCAGCGATGGTGCAAACGTCCATGGCCGTCAAGGTGCCATCGAGTGCATCTACCACCTCATTCACGTCATGGAAGATGGTATTCTGCCCTACGTGATCTTCCTCATCACTCCTGTCTTGGGACGAATGAGCGACTCAGACAACGACATCCGTCTGCTGGCCACGACAAGCTTCGCCACGCTCGTCAAGCTTGTTCCGCTCGAGTCCGGGATCCCAGACCCTCCCGGTTTGCCCGATGCACTGCTCAAGGGCCGAGATCGCGAGCGTAAGTTCGTTGCTCAGATGTTGGATGCAAAGAAGGTCGAGCCTTTCGAGATCCCTGTCGGGATCAAGGCTACCCTGCGTTCGTACCAACAAGACGGCGTCAACTGGCTTGCCTTCCTCAACCGATATAATTTGCACGGCATTCTCTGTGACGACATGGGTCTCGGCAAGACATTGCAGACATTGTGCATGGTGGCCAGTGACCATCACCTGCGAGCCGATGAGTTCGCCAAGTCTGGTGATCCCAACTTCCGCAGGCTGCCGTCTCTCATCGTCTGCCCTCCTACTTTGTCTGGCCATTGGCAGCAAGAGATCCGCCAGTATGCTCCTTTCCTTTCCTGCGTAGCCTACGTCGGTGCTCCGCCAATACGTGGCCAACACAGGTCTCAGCTCCAGAACGTCGACATAGTCATCACCAGTTATGACATCTGCAGGAACGATCTTGACATTCTCAAGCCTGTCAACTGGAACTACTGCGTACTCGATGAAGGCCACCTGATCAAGAACTCGAAGTCAAAGACCAGCCAAGCTGTTAAGCAATTCCAGTCGAATCACCGCCTGATCCTTTCCGGTACACCGATCCAGAACAATGTACTGGAGCTGTGGTCTCTCTTCGACTTTCTCATGCCTGGCTTCCTGGGTTCTGAGAAAGTCTTCCAGGAGCGTTTTGCAAAGCCTATTGCAGCCTCTCGATTTGCCAAGTCTTCATCGAAGGAGCAAGAAAAGGGTGCCCTCGCTATCGAAGCGCTCCACAAGCAGGTCCTCCCCTTCCTTCTCCGACGTCTCAAGGAGGAGGTGTTGGATGATTTGCCACCCAAGATTCTGCAGAACTACTACTGCGATCTTTCCGAGCTTCAGCGTAACCTGTTCGACGATTTCAACAAGCGTCAAGGAAAAGAAATCCAGTCAAAGGCAGGCAACGCTGACCGCGATAGCAAGCAGCACATCTTCCAGGCATTGCAGTACATGAAGAAACTGTGCAACTCGCCTGCTCTCGTTGTTAAGGGTCCAACAAACAAGGCCTACGAGCCAACGCAGCAGTACTTGAAGAAGCACAATACAACGATCGACGATATCGTTCATGCTCCTAAGCTCAGTGCGCTGAAGGATCTCTTGGTGGACTGCGGCATTGGCGCGGCAGACGTTGCTGGCGACAAGTCAGCGGCTGCCAACGGCGATCTGCCCGAGGCGGTGTCTCAACATCGTGCTCTCATCTTCTGTCAAATGAAGGAGATGCTTGACATGGTCGAGTCTGCCGTCTTCAAGAAATTGCTACCGAGTGTCCAGTTCATGAGGCTCGATGGTACAGTGCCAGCAGAGAAGCGTCAGGATATCGTCAACAAGTTCAACTCGGACCCGTCTTACGATGCACTGCTCCTGACCACCAGCGTCGGTGGTCTTGGTCTCAACTTGACTGGTGCTGATACCGTCATCTTCGTTGAGCATGACTGGAACCCGCAGAAGGACATCCAGGCCATGGATCGCGCTCATCGTATCGGACAGAAGAAGGTTGTCAATGTGTACCGCATTGTTACTCGCGGGACACTGGAAGAGAAGATTCTCAAGTACGTATACCTCCTGGACATCCTACAGACCAGCTACTAATGCATACACAGCCTTCAACGTTTCAAGATCGATGTTGCGAGCACCGTCGTCAATCAACAGAACGCCGGCCTTGGCTCTATGCAGACAGATCAGATCCTTGACCTTTTCAATGTCTCGGCGGACAGCGCAGACCCAGCTGCGCTTCCACCTCCTCCGTCCAACTCAAAGGACGATAACGGTATCGACGAGAACGATGCCGTCGATGCTACTGGTGAATTACGTCAGAAGGGCCAGAAAGGTTTCCTTGACGATATCGGCGAACTCTGGGACGAGAAGCAGTATGAAGACGAGTTCGACCTCGATGGTTTCTTGGGCAAGATGCAGGGTGGTGCAGCATAGTATGCTTGGCCTGTCCGCATCGATAATCCTGCTAGGGCTGTGTTGCCACATCCTTGGGATGACTGACTTCACGCGCCATGGGCATAGTGGTGTATTGGCGTTTTGTTTCGATAAGTGTAGCGACCACTCGCAAGGTTGTACGGCATGTATGGGATAGCATGGACGGATTATGGAACGGTTCCATCATTCGACTTAGCATGGCGTTGGATGGCTTTGAGGCTTAAAGTCACATCGATGGGTCTCATGCGAGACGTGTATGCTCGTACTTGTATTGGTAGATGGCACGCCCATCAATGGGCTTTTCACAAAACGAAGATATCCAATTGGCAGGTGCCTATCATGCAGCAGCGGACTTCCGATCCCGAGGCCGCAGACACTATAAGATACGTGAAGCACCGAACTAAGCCCTCACTCACGCACACACGCTAGACTTAAGACGCAGCACAAATGGCTTCACTGAGCTGCTCCGACGTCCCCTGAGATAAACAGCTTTTACCATCTCCCGAGATAGAAATCTACAGCACCTCTCACACGCTTGCACGCGACCGCATCAAGCGGCGTCACGACCCCTTTGTTACCGCTTCGAGTTGGATCCATCTGGGAGAAAACGATTATACACAGTGGCGCAGTTTCTTGCAGTCCATGGCGAATCCTATCAACGCTGCCAGTGATGCAGACCAATTTCCATGCATGTTCCTCGCAAATTGTTGATTAACTCCGATCTTCAACCGCGCACGCGCAGCCTTCCATTTCACGGCTGATTAGTTTGCTTCTTTGTGTCTTACTCGTGTCTATGGCAGCAAGCAAGTTTCTTTGTTGTAGGTGCTTGTAGGTCCATATAATCAGGGTACTACATCACTCGTTGATGGTATTATTGTGTTCATTCTATTTTCTGCATAGTGCTCGTTCAACAGGCGGCGTCTAAACGGTTGGGTCTTGAGCTTTGGCTTCGGCGTGGAGCGCGAGAACACCTACACCACACCCTGACTTATAGTTCGATTTCAGCATGTCTAAGATTCAGATGAGGGACATGAAGTAGCTGTCTACGGTGCAGAAATATAATTGTTAAGCGTTCTACACTCAAGACATGTTCTTGCTTGACTACAGCTTTACCGACTTTCAGATAGTGCAGAGTAGCACGGTCATGTATCTACCATCTGGGCATCTGCTACAATTTTTCCACAGGCTCATTGTTTGTTTCAGTCTATTAGGCTAAAAACAGATACAATTGTTGGGCAAAATCGCCACTGGGACGAGAATAAGTGGGCCCGGCTTGTAGGTGCACACGATGATAGTAGAGCTCACGACAAGATACCAGAGGTGGACGCTTGGCCTGCGACTGGAGACATTAATCAGACATTATATGAGGTGGACTGTGAAAGAGGTTGTGACTCACGAAGAGTATCGATTGAAGCCGTACATGAAGTATGACAAAAACCATAGCTTAGTGTAGACTCGCGTACCCTCGACCCAAACCTAGCAGTTCTATCTTACCATAGTCTTTGACGTGAAAGGGCTCTTCCTGAACCAGAAGAATGCCGCAACGTAAATAACTGCGCCAAGCGACAACAGCCCAGCATAAGCTCCAAACCCTTTGATGTACTTCGGGGCATCCTCAGTAGGGAACAAGTATGCACCATATATCTGCGCCAGGTTACCGAACGCATTGACGAAAGCCAGCGAGATGGCTCGAGTCTCGGGATCGAGTGGGCCCATAGATACCGAGGCGTATGACAGCGCAAGAGGATTGGCAGTCCATATCATGCTGTTGATAAAAACAAGGAAGACATAGCGTGGGATATAAGCGTAGATACCAGCTGAAAGCGCGCAGAAGAGGGCGCCAGTAACGAGAGCTGCGGCGCAGAGTATGGGGCGAAATGCGCTGATCTTGTCAGCCAGGATGGCAACGGGAACAGCGATGATGAAGGCTGCCACGTAAAGAGGGACAGTCATATACTGTGCCATCGATCCAGTATAGCCAAGGCCGCGAACAAGAGTGGGGTTGAAATAGCTCAAGCTGTAGCAGCCAATGATGGTCATGTAGCCAGCACATAGAAGCCAGAGACGCCAGTTCTTGACTGCATTCATGAAGGCTTTGGCATGAGAAATGTGCTTCTCCTTGTCGTGGCTGCCGAAGTCGGCGTGTAGGCGGGCCATGGCTATCTCACGCTCCTGTGTGTTGAGCTGACGAGCATTTGACGGGTAGTCGAGAAGTACGAAGGGAGCGGGGATCGCGCAGGCAACGGTTGCGACGCCCTGAACGATGAAGAGCCTGGAGGCTGTTAATATTTATAATCCATTTAGCTTCGGGAAAACTTGGTTACTTACCATTGCCATCCAGCAATGCCATGAACACCTTCGAGACTATCGACAATGGCACCGGCGATAACTCCGCCGAAGGCGCCTGATAGAATACCAGCAGACAAAAAACACATGAAGCGCTTCGATTGCTCATGTCGTCTGTACCACGTCGAGATTATGAAGAGAACAGCTGGCGAGAAACCCGCTTCTGTCACACCAAGCAGGAATCGAACTCCGATGAGCTGAGCGGGTGTCTTAACCAGAGCCATCAATGCGGATACAGTACCCCAAAAGACCATCAAGGTGGGGATCCAAATTGACGGACGTACACGAGAAAGAACCATGCTATGACTAGTTAGAATTGTCTTGCTTCGACGGATATATGAGCATACTTGGACGGGACCTCGAAGAATACATAGCCGACTTGGAATATGACAATAGCGAGGAAGTAGTCATTAGACGTGAGGCCAAGATCTACGTCCATGCCAGCGACTTTTGCATTTCCAATAGCAGTGCGGTCCTATTGGGTGATTAGCCGCGTGTAATAAGGACAGGGACAGTCAGGAATCTACCATGTATGAGAAGCAGTACAAGATCCAGATGGTCGGCATCAGGTACAAGTCGATCTTTCGCACCAGCTTCTTCTCTGCTGCAGTCTTCTCTTCGAAGGGCGTCTCAGCAATCTTGATAATCCCTTCCTCTTGTGCCTCCATTGAGTTATGGACTGCAACATCTTGCTTCTCGTCCATGGTGGCGATGTTGCCGATTCTCTCGACTTCGGTCTTCCAGAAGTCGCGGTCTGAGTGTTCAGTTTGAAGCGCCATGATATTGGAAAGTCTCGAGACTGGTGATGAAGTGATGCTCTATCTGTTCGAGAGCTGTGGAGCCTGGATATGGGAAGTGACTGCGTCGATCATGTTATATGCGCACGCTACCTCACGTTTGCATAACTGTAACGTGCCGCACTATGAGGATCCTTGGCCCGAAGTCTGGGGCAACCGATCCCGTTGCTGTAAGCCCGTCTCGAGAGGCACCTCATACGCTCCTAGTCCCCTGAGTATCCCCTCACTGGTGCATTTCCCCGCATCACGTGACCTCGGGAATCCTTTTCCGACTAAGTCACGCACCAGGCGACGATCATACATGATGATGCGGGGAAGGATGTTACGGAGAGCAGCTGGAGTCCCCGATATGGGCCTGGCGCTAGCTGCGGATGCGTGTCGGGGACTCGATCTGAAAGCGAATCAGCTGAGGGCGCAAGCTGAACGTGGTATAATGTGCCGAGTATCTTGGCTCGCGGCATTCTGTTGACAAGGTTTTCGTTCGATGCTCGTCTCAACGCGACAGTATATTGCAGATGGATAGGTCTTGATCCAGGGGTTTAATCTCTATAACGCCATGAGATGTATACGTCCTTCGCTGCTCCGAAAGCTCCCTCCAAGATCACGATTTTTGGACCTCATGTTCAATGTCTGCAACTCTTGGAACTCTATGCAATCGTAGTTGGCAGAAGCTCGCTACGAGTTCGATCTGTCTGTATGTGAGCGTGGAGGGCTCGACCATGCTGGCGCGCCAACTTACACATTGCTGAAGAGTTTCGGTATCTTCCATACTCACACCAATTCTTCTCGTACCCCTGAGATGCCAGCCGGTCTCTCTGGGCAGGTTTTGTATCATGATACCAGATAGGACTGTGATCTCAGTCTCTATATCGTTCAGTATGCTGTGATCAGAGAGATAGAGTCCATATGTGATCTGCTTGCTTGTCCAATCTACATATTGCGTCAGACATGTGGTTGAAACAGAGAGTGATTTTGAGGACCTACCGAAGTCTCGTTGCGACGCCAGCACGTTATCAATCGCGCCTTGGTTGTGTTGGTACAGACGGTTCTGCCACTCGAAGCCACGCCTCGCGTTCGCCTCATCGCATTGCCATCCCTCTCTAGTACGATTCAGCTTGTGTTCGCTGACTAGTTTTGGCTTGGAAATCCGCTCACCTTGAAAACGTGTAGTCCTTGTCTTCTGGTTTCGTTACTGCATCGATATCGAAGATTGCTTCCAAAGGCTTGCATACACCAATGATGACAATGAGCTTGAAGAGCGTCTCTCTTATTCTTCGCATCAAAGCCTGTCGCTCTGCTGGGCTCTGATGTTCGGGTCGCTTGATGAGTTCCTTGTAAAGGAGAGGCGCAAAGCCAGGCTGGCCACCGCCTACCATAGCCGCGAGCTATTAGCGTCAGCACATGAAATCATCTCAAAGGTCAGTCCAAGGTGTTTAGCTAACAGTCAGAATGTACCACTTGTCGTCGCCCAATGATTTTGATGGAAACAACTGTTCCGCCGCTTTGAACATGGCAAGAGCGTCATCATCCGTGGGGTCGCGAGGTATGGGTATGTCGTGAGCAGTCATGTTGGTTCCCTGTTCGCGATGTGCTGGAAATGTAAAGACTTCTGCCGTAGATGAACAAACACATCTTTGCCATCTCGATCCGGGTGATGGAAGGAGCAGTGGGGCGCGCGAACCGGACGCGTCCTCCACACGCGTTCATTAGCGCCGTGCGGGGTCGTCGGGAAGGTGCAAGTCTCCCCGACTCACCCTGCAGACATCATGTCGGCAGTATTCATCATGGGCAGACTGCTTGAGACGCCTGGAGCAGGCCCGTGCAGCAAAGGTCGGCATGTCATTATCCCAGCAAAGCACATAAGCGCTCGCCCTTCCTGATTGCCCGATCAATCTTGCATGCACAGCTGCAGGCACTCTCTACCTCCTAGCACGCTCATCAAAACGACAATCAAGATGTCTGCCTTCTTCCTACCGTCTGGACATCCGAAGACCGTCATTGTCACAGGCGGAGCTGGAGGCATCGGTGCTCAGACGATACGCACCTTCCATGCACATGGCTGCAACGTAGTGATTGCTGATCTATCCTTCGCAAAAGGTGCTGCCGAATCTCTCATTGCCTCGCTATCAGAGCCAAGTCGTGCTCTCTTTCATGAGACCGATATCACTGACTGGCAAGCTATGCGCAATTTGTTCAGGAGCACGAAAGAGAAGTTTGGTCAAGTCGACATCGTCATTGCAAACGCTGGGTTGATGGAAAGCATAGGCTTCTTCGACTTCGACGAGGACGAGACCGGTGAACTGAAAGAGCCAAAAGAGGCGTACAAGATCATCGATGTCAATTTAAAGGGCTCAATGAACAGTAAACGCTTCCTCAATTGAGTGCTCTTACAGAGCTGACACACAACAGCACTCAGACTCGCGATGCATGCGATGCAGTCAAACGATCAGGACGCTGATGGTGCACGAGGATCGGTGATTCTGATTGCATCAACGTCAGGGTACTTTGGTGGCACCAGTGTAGTCTCGTACATTTCATCGAAGCACGGTGTTGTTGGCTTAGCTCGAGCATCGCAACGAAGAGCAGCTGAGCTGGATGTGCGGGTCAATGTAGTAGCACCATTCTTCACGCCTACTCACATCACTACCGGCTATTCGGAGAAATGGAGAGAGAGGGGCTTGCCAGCAAACACTGTAGAGGGCGTCGCTGATACTATCGTGACTACGAGTACTGATCCCACAAGAAAGGGTCACAGCGTCATGGTAATTCAACTCATCACAAGTCTATGGAACGATTGCTAACGCGGCTCATCAGGTAGCAGGGAGCTTTGTGAAGGAGATTGAAACGGCAAGAACAGCATTGACAAAAGACTGGCTAGGCGAGGACATCGCGAATGTCATGGCGGAAGGAGGCAAGTTCTTCGATGATATGGGGGGTTACACTCTGCCGAAAGCCCGACCTTAGGCCACTATAGAGGTAATAGAACGAAGTAAGAGTGATCTATAAATGCTGATCATTAGATCGATTATAGATTCCGCTCCGACGAACTTCGCTCCTTAACCAGTCACAGCAACGATGGTGCGCCGCAGTGTTCGCACTTTTGTCAAGATCTTTTAGCCTTGCTGTGATTACCTTTCGAGAGCTGCGAGGCTCATAAGTTTGGGACGCCTGCTCTGCTCACGTCAATAGTCTGGACGAGAACCATGTACAAGCGGAAATTGCAACATTCGACTCAAGATTGTGGTCGAGGAAGTCGTGTGGACCAGGAACTGACGCATCGGCGGCATCCGAGTTGGAACACAGTGGCTGCAAAACTGATTGCAAGTGACCACTTGATGATCGTCACCAAGATCGTTGACAAAAGAATTTAAACGACACACGCGAGGTATATATGACGGGGTCAAGACAGATACATGGTCGCGGGCATGCGGACAGCAAGTCATGGGCTCTTTGCTACACAAAGGTCATGAGCAAGCTGCGTGCTCAACCTCGCGACATTCAAACCCATCTCCAAGGTGCCTGTTCCATTTTTACGTCTCTTCACATTTTCGCTTTGAACTGGTATGTATTCTGCGCAGCCTACCCAGCAAAATGACCATCTGTCCGAATGCGAGCTTGTGTCGCTTCGCGGAACCTCAGACGATGCACAGCAAACTTTGAATGAAGATGTGATCTAAAAATCGTACACATCCGCGCAGGAGCAGAATCTGAGCGCAGGCACGCTTCTCGACTGGCCGAACGACCCTACTAATCCGGTGAACAGATCCTCGGACCCTGCCATGCAGATTTCGAGCCACGCGCTATTGCCCGGTCTTGACTCGGACCAAGCTTACCCCAACGTAACAGCTATCCGACACGAGTTCGAACTTCGCACAGCCCAAATGGTGGTCATCGAGTCTGTCCCGGAAACGACCCTGGAGGCCAAAGTACATTTTCGGGACGTTCCTGGGGATCAGAACTGGCCAGCGCACTTCCGCACCTATGGGAATCTTCAGACTCTTCTAATACCCGTCGCAGATCACATCGCACCTCCGTGGTCGGACGAGGATGGGTGCACTGAGGTCATTGGTGCTCTACGTCCCGCCGCAAGCGACTGAGATCGCATATATTTTCTTTCCGGAACGCTCAGCCATGGAATTATTTGAGAACATCGAAGAATTGTTACTGTTGGCTGGTAGGCAATAGCGGGCTGGTGGGGATGAACAAGATATCTTCGACCTAAGTGCGTCGGTACGTGAAGCTTTGCGAACAGTAACTCAGGACTAGATGCACAACATCTTTGGAGTCGAAGGATGAGTGGAAATCGAAGGATAGCTCTCAAGGTATGACCTTCAGATAGTCAGTGACTGATTGAGTCAGACCCTGGATCTACAAGAAATTGCTTGAAACACGGTCCAGGGTTTTCGGTTCATTGCAAAAACCTTGAAAGCTTCTAGCATTCCAAGCTTTCTTTTAACTTCAACCGAGAACTTTCCACGAAATCTACGAAACAAAATCCCACCGCATCAGCACAACTACCATCACCACCTCCAGCATGAAATCTGCGACCATACTCAGCGCTTTCGCCCTGTGTGGCACTATCGTGTCTGCACTACCAGCCAGGCTTCCCTGGGCTACTGCGCTTTCGCATACCGTATGTACGGCGTTCCTTCCTATTGGTGTAATGTCATTGATAAAAAGACAGCCACGCGCAGTCAGCAAGTGCCATATCCGCGACTGCCTTGAAAAATGTGGAAATAGTAATGTCTGCAGCACCATTTGATGAGGCAAGATCAAGGTATCTCAGAAGCATGAGCCTGATCACTGGAAGCTTGAAGTTGGCATCTTGTGCAGTACGCTCCATGCTACGATGATGAATTTGAGTCTGCAGATAGTGCAATTGTCAAAGCTACTGTAGCAATAGTAAGAACGGTTGCTCGCCAAGACGGCAGTTACTGACTACCAATGCTCGTGTTCAAAGCTCACGTGCAATCTGCCGTCTAGATAGCAAGAGGATCGCCATAAGGATCGTGATATCGATAATCTTGCTGCAGTACGGGCGGATACGCTTGCCGGTCAGTTCAGGTGCAAATGCCCTGATATCAGCGTTAGGTATTAGATCTTTCGCTCTGCACGAAGTTCACAGCCGCTGCAGTTTACCTGCACGCATTAGTTCGAACTTCCTTTGGTCCACTAATGCATCGAACACGTCCCATCGATGCCATTTGGAGCTGGGACAATGCTGACCCCGACCGGAACGTCTACATGGAAGGATGCGACCGGCGTGGCAGATACAAGGTAGTGATCCCAGCGTATCGTTACTGACCGCACTTCTCGGGCACACCTTGTATGACGAATCGCAGTAGAGTGTTCTGACATAGAAAGGTCTAATGTGGCAGCCGCAACAGATACCGCGATGTCGGTGGCAGAGTATAAAGCATCAAGGGTCGTCGAGTCGCCGAAGTCACACCAGGTCCACCCTTGCACTCCGCAGCAGTAGTCCTTGCACATTCATTATCATATTCCTTGAAGAAACATTCGTTTCAAGGCCATGAAGCTTCCAAATGTCCTCGTTGCTGGTCTGGCCAGCAGCGCTAATGCGCTCAAGTTCCAGGAGAACAAACTCCTGGCTGCTGAAGGGATGCTCAGGCTTGGCTTTCATCTGGCAAAGAACAGTCTTCCAGCCGCAGGGACGTGCACGTTGGACAAGGTGTCAGTCCGCAGGGAATGGTAAGTTGACCACACTCGCATCCATACATCCGCAACGACTTACACCGATTCCGGGCAACATTACCTGGTAAGGAGAGGATCGCCTTTACCGATGCCGTCATTTTCCTTCATAAATTGCCCGCAGACTCCAGCTTCCGTTGCACCCGGCGCAAAAAGTCGCTACGACGACCTCGTGGTGACACACATCCAGCAGTCGAACTACATCCACGGCACTGGTAACTTCTTGACTTGGCACCGTTATTTTACCTGGTCCTTTGAGCAGATGTTGAGGAACGAATGTGGTTGGAACGTGTCAAAGATCTAAGCGATATGGTCTTGACAGGGCACTGGCAAGAAAACACATGGCGAGTTCCAAGTGCCCCAGAGTTCATTTTCTTGTTAATTAGACAACAAGAAAAAGGGGCAAGACTGGATCAGCGAAAGCGAACTACGCACGTAGAGAAGAGAGCGATTGGGTCCAGTTCAGACACTTCTTTCTCCATGTTTCAAGGGTCACATCACGCGTCTGCCATAACTGGTCGCGAGCGGTTCTCGCGACTCGAGACAGAGACAGTGGGTGCCCTCCAATCCGCTGGATCCAGGTCCAAGTGAGATTCGCTTCCCAATCAACTGGAACATCTGATGTGAAGACCAGCGCGGTTCTTAGTGAGTGATGAGATCAATCGCGGAGCAATATTTCCATCCATCTCATCAAGTATTCCTGAATGCCGTGGCAACTCGACGTGTGGTTGACAGCGCTGCGGACCGCGCTGCAGCAGAGATCAAAACAATGCGGCGGTGGGGCGGCTTCGCGTTTCTATCCCCACAATTCAGCATGCTGGGCGAATGAAGAAGTGCCGCGTGCTCCTACAGCATGCTGGGTCGAATCAGACTGTGAGGAACTACTCACTTCGGCCAAATTAGAAGGCGTTGCTGCTAGACGCTGCAGCTCTCAGCTCGTCAACTTGGTTGCGTGAAAGCGCGACGTGTTATTATGGCTGTCGAGTGGACGGACACAGCCCCGCCGCTGTGCGAGTACTGACAAAGACTTTGCGAGTCTTGGTCAGTTCGAATGGAAAGGAGAGGAATGTAGCGAATAATGAAGCACGATGTTTGACAATAGCCAGGCTGCCGCGATATGACTGGCTCTGGGGTACGGAGGATGACGCTGCATGGGCGGGCCGCACCTGCCCAACTTAAGCGCCTAAAGTTGCACGGACAAAAGTAAACAGAGCGACGCCGAGGAAGAGCAGCTCGCAGAAAAGTACCCGTATCCATGTCTGACCCTGTTGTGAACACAGTCCGACGTTTGAACGCTCTGCAATTGCTTTTTATGGGGTTCTGACAGTCGCTGCTCGAAGATTCGCCCGCGTATTTGCACTTGGCCTCACCGCTCGCTCCCCACGCAAGGCACGGCCGTTGATGCCCTGCTGCCAACGCACCTCCGCGGTCGCACATACCGCCGAACGCTCTGAGTAACACCAAATCTGCCCAACTCGTTCATCCTCCCCACCGAACGCTTGCCGTAACCCGCATCATCGCCCTTGCGGGCACAACCCGTCATGAACGGCCCTCCTCCACCGCCGCCGAAGCATGGCGAGAATCCGAAGACCACAGGAGGCAGCCATGCTCCTCCGGGCAGTGGCGGCGGCCTGCCCCCTGGCAACTACGACATCTTCATCATACCACCACACTCATCGGGCGGTGGGTTCGTGTACCTCCCAAGCCTCCAGGTGCAGCGCAACAGCTTCATAGCGGGCATCGCCAGCACCCTCGCTAGCATTGCCGTCTGGAAGGTCATGGAGCCCCATGTGAAACAGTACTTCCAGATGGCCACCCAGAGCGTCTCGTCAGGCAACAATGGCACGATACTGCTGCTGGTGCTCGTGGGCGTTGCAGGCTGGGTCTTCGGTCAGACACAAGGTGGAGGCAAGTTCGGTGCCTTTGGACCAGGAAGCGGACCTCAAGGTGCAACAGGAGCCGGAGCTGGTGCTGGTGCAGCGGGCGCAGGTGCTGGTTACCAACACGGTTCACCGCCGCCCAACGGAAATTTCCCTGGTGCTGGCGGTCCTCCACCACAGGGCGCATCAGGCAGCTGGGGTGGATATCAACAACATGGTGCGTCATCACCACCTCCAGACGATGCCGAGTCAACATTTAAGAAAGAACAGGCTAAAGCTGAGGAGGAGCGCAAACGCGCTGAGGAGGAGGAGGCGAGGAAGAAGGCTGAGGCGAAGCGGAAAGAAGACGATGCGAGACGCGCCAAAGAAGAGGCAGACCGGAAACGGGCGGCAGAGGAGAGACGCAAGCGAGACGAAGAGGAGCGCAGACAAGCAGAGGCGCAAAGAAGGAAACTTGAAGAGCAGGCACAGAGGCTTGCTGAAGAAGCAAAGAAGATAGCAGACGAAGTGGCCCGGAAGGCAGCCTGGGAAGAGCTAAAGAGAGCAGAGGAAGCAAGAAAGAAGCGTGAAGAAGAAGAGAAAGCCAAAGAGGAGGCAGCCAAACAAGCACGAGCAAAGGCTGAAAAAGAGAAGTGGGAGAAGATGCGACAGCGCGAGCGAGAGCAACGTGAGCGCGAGGCTCGCGAACGACTTGCAAAAGAAAAGGCAAAGAAGTTGCAAGAGCAGCGCGAGAAAGAAGACGCTGAACGAGAGGCTCGTGAAGCCGCAGCCAGAGCAGCCATTGAGAAGGAGATCCGAGAGAAGCTTGAGGCTGAGCAGAAGGCCAAGGCTGCCGAGGAAGCAGCGAGGAAGGCTGAAGACGAGAAAGCCGCCGCAGAAGCTGCCGCCGCCAGAGAGAAAGCAGCTGCTGAAGCTGCCGGCCTAAAAGCAAAGGCTGACGCTGAACGAGCTGAGCGGCTCAAGGCTGCACGAGAGCGAGCCCAGCGCGACCGAGAAGCGCGACTCAAGGCAGAGGCTGACAGAATCAAGGCAGAAGCCGCTGCGGCGGCACCAGATCCCAGTACTGGCCGAAGGTCTACAACATATGGTGGTATCGGTGGCGGCGAGCGTCTCGATCCTTACGCAGGCGCTCGAAGTCCGCCCATACCCTCGCCCTCTGTCACTTCGACACAATCTTCGCCCATCAAAGCCACGGTGTCGCCGAAGAAAACTTATGAGAAGCCAACTGCCAAGTCGTACTTTGGCACAGAGGCACGGTCAAGCGCATCGCGCTCGCACGTCTCTTCTGCATACTCCGAGTCTTCCTACGCCGAGTCGATCTCTACCGCACGAACAACACCGCCGGCTTCTCAACGAGGGCCATACTCCACAGCCGATCCGAACAAAATCATCATCAAAGCGGTATATCTATTCAACGATCTCTTCCCAAAGCCAGTGGCGCAGTTGGTGGCCAGTGTTGGCAAGGTGACCGATGGATTAGTCCTGAAGATCCAGTCGGAAGGTCTTTTCATCGACGACGACGTACGCAGTATACCGCAGCGCGAGTGGGATGTGAAAGCTTGGACGTTGAAGCTGGTCGAGGTAAGCATATCATGGAAGCACACTGATTGGGAACATACTGACTCGGTATAGACCGGCACCCAACCTTCGAAAGGCCTGCACATCCTGCGTGCTTCAGTCCGCGACGCCGACGGGAAGAAGTACGTCTTCCTCATCGACGATTCTGAAAGCTGGAAACTTGCGCTCGGTCTGCAACGCTTGCGTAAGGGCAGTCAGGTTCGCAGCTTGCAGAACAGCCAGATGGCACCAAACGATGTCATCAGGCTTCTGAACACAGTTCCTCCTCTTTCATGAGCAGCAGTACAGCGAGGAGGTGATCGATCGATTGACAAGAGAGAGAAAACTACAGTGTCGCGATATACGTGTTGTCGAACGCCTGGAATGCTTGGACATGACGGCATTCCTGACGTGCGTTGGCGACATTCTTGGGAAGGAGCGAGCAAGCGAGCGATTTGATGAGATATACCCTCTTTTTCTGAAAAGCCTTATCTGCATCAGCATAAGCGGCGGAGTTTTGCATAGTTCTTTTTGTTCGAGTAGACGTGCTTCGGGTGTTGGCGTTGCTGGAGCGTGTTGAGTAAGCCTACTTGTAGATATCGAGCGCAGAGCATTCTTCATGTCACGACATTCGTATCAGTTCGCAATATTCCCTTGTTGTCAATATCTGATCAGCAGTTCTGAATCATCATTCACATGAAAGTACGGCAGTTTAAGCCGACGTAATGTAAAAGAGTGACTGTTTATTGGCCCTACTTCACGCTCTCGACTGCCCTTGCGGCAACACAGAGACGCTTCAAGCCTCCGCAGGCGCAGCAGCACCGACAACGGTCTTTGCAGCAATAGACTCAAGACGCTTGAAGCCCCCACTTTGCTTGACACCCTGCTGCAGCACAACCATCCTCTTCTGATCACCCGTCGGATCCGCACTCTCCGCCTCCAGCCCCCACTGCAGAAACGCGTTGGTGTAGTTGGGCGCAAAATCGTCCCCCAGCACGCCCAGCCGCTTGCCGTACCGCGTCACCTTGTCCCAGTCGCGGGCCACGTTCTGCAGATCCGGGCTGAAGTAGGCAAAGCTGCGCTCGAACATGTGGTGGTTCGTGCGCGAGTCGAGCGCGGGCTTGAAGGCGACGAGCTCGCGCCACGCCTGCTCGGGCTGCGCGAGTACAAAGTCGGTTGCGCGCTTGCACGCGCGCATGAAGGCGCGCACGTCGTCGCCATGGGCGGCGAGGAACGCGTCGTTGGCAATGTACAGGATGCTGCAGAAGCAGCAGCAGCCCAGCTGGGCCAGCTCGTCGATGCGCAGCATCTTGACCTCGTCGGGGGCGCGGCCCTGCGCGACAAGCCAGTCCTCGAGCTCGACCATCTGCACGTTCTCCAGGCCGATGCCCGCGTCGATGTCGCCGGCGATGATGCTGCGGGTCACGTTCATGCCGACGCGGACGGCGGTGTAGTCGGACGGCGCCATGCCGTAGTGCGCCGTCAGCTCGTCGAGCTGGATCTTGCCGAACTCGCCGACGTAGCCGATGCGCTTGCCCTTCAGCGTGGTGAAGTCTGGCGTGATGCCCGAGCTCGTCAGGTACACGACGCCAGTGAAGGGCTCGTTGAGCAGCGAGCCGATGGAGGAGACTGGGAAGCCGCGCGCGGCGGCGGCGAGGGTGTGGATCATGGCTTTGAAGCCGAGGTCGACTTTGCCCGAGCCGATGATCTCGGTGACGTCCTTTGTGGTGTTAGCGGTGATGGATGAGATCAGGGTTGGAACAGCGTACGCTGGGGTCGTTGGGCTCGAGGAGCGCGACTTTGATGCCTTCATCTTTGAAGTAGCCCTTTGCTTGAGCGAGGTAGAGAGGGGCGTGGTACGGGGTGGCGTGCCTGTTATTGATATCAGTTCTACTTCATGTTGACCAATGACATTGGAGATGATCACAAACCAGTTGGTCAAGAAGGTGATCTTGTCAGTAGACATGTTGGCGAAGATTTGCTGGGAAAGTCAGTACGCCAGAGGCGCGGGGGACGGGACCAAGAAAGCAGCTTGTCCTTTCGCTGGAATTATCCAGATCAAGTTTAAACGGTATAATCTCAGAACAAGCCCATCTCCAGCCCGCCGTGCCTGCCGCGAGATTGTGGTCTCGAAGCCGACACGGAGGACTGGAAATAAGCTTGAACACCCGCCATGCATGCTTCAGATTTGAGAAAATACCTGTCGATGTCATGTCGACGTCGCTTGACTGTGATCTCCCATTGGGCGAAGAGGAGAGGCAGTGTGCCCCAGTTGCTTCCTTCACAGCATCGTACCGGTGCTTTTGTGGTGGTGTTGGAGAGGGGTGAGACGTAATCAGATTCGATTGTACAATTCGAACCTGGGTATTGATGGACCGGAGATCTGACTTTATACTCGTCTCTGGGCATCGCCGAGCTTCGCTACAGTTCAACAAATCGCTCATCTGCCAGCGGGGCAGTGAGGGGTACGAGTCGCTTCAGACGTCAAGCTGCATGGTCATCCCACTTGGTGTATCCATCAATTTGTCTCTGGTCCCCATGCGGACGCGGGAGTTGTGCGCCGCGTCGTCTGATTTGCTGTCTGGCCGTTCCGGGTGGGACCTTGATGAGCGAAACCTCACTTTACCCGCCGTTTACCGCAACACCAGCTCTTCATTGAAGGCCTCATTATCAAACGTGATAGACAGAGATGAATCGTGTGTAAATTTGGCAATGCCGTCCGGCAGTCCGCGCAAAGACGTCACGATGCCGATGTTCGATGAATTTCAGCATCGATACATTGGTTGGCTACACCTTGAGATAGTCAACCACATGCTCTTGGTGCCGGGTTCCCAGATCAGGTACAATGGCATCTTAGATCTCCTCGATGACTTTGACGTTGAGCATCCCAGCAAACGGTGTTGCCTTGCCCACAGTAGACTCCTCACTCAGAGCCCATAGGGTCAGCTGCTCCAACACCACTCTAGCCGTAGGTTCGGTCGGCATCCAATGCCCGGCTTCCTTCACAACCAGTACCTGGGAGCCGCTAACAAGATACTCTCTAACGTTGTCGAGAGCCAGCCTCAGGTCGAACGCTGGATCGCGTTCCCCAAGCACGAGCGTAGTGGGAGCCTTCAAAGCGCCTCTAGGAGCGACACCAGACGCTCGATCGTTGCCGGCACGAAGCTCGTACAGCGCGGCAGTAGTCTCCAATGACTTCTCCCATCGTCCCATGAAGACACCCTCGCGGTAGATTCGTATCTTCTCCGACATTCCACGATCCTTGATCCGCTGTCGTACCGATTCGCCATAGCGGAGGCCTCCAACCGGCTGGTCGACCAGCTGAGATGCTCCGGGACCCGTGGACAGACACATTGCCTCTGCAGCATCTTTAGGGCTCAGCCTCGCGAGGACATCTTCGCCCTTTCTTTGCGGGCCTGTGCCGAGACTGTGTATGACACGCAGGAACCAGTAGTTGCCGAAGGTGGCGAAGAAGGCGTCCAGAGGTGCAGGCAGATGGAAGCAAAATATGTAAAAAGACCTGCTGAACTGCGATCGTACTGGCTTGAGGGCCCGGAAGGCGTTCTTGATGAGAGCGGTATTGGCAGGACTCTTGATCCACGTGCGCAGCATCTGACGAGCCAGTGTCCACTGCGAGATGGCGTTATTGGCAGTCGCGTGAGGCTGTTCGTATTAGCAGGGAGGCAATCAAGGGTCTAACACGGCAACCTACGATGATGCCACTGGTGATGATGAAGCGATCGGCGAGCTCTGGGGCCTCAGAGGCAAGCCTGGCAGAGACGAGCGCTCCCCAATCGTGGCTGACCACGACGCACTTGCTGTCTGGCTGCAAGAACTGCTTCCTCACGCCGATGATGAACTCGGCCATGGCTTCGAGAAGCTCGTACGGGCCATAGTTCGGCAAGCTGTCGCTGCCACCGTAGCCAGGCAGGTCAACGGCAACGAGTGTGTGCGACTGCTGCAGCACGGGGTTCTGCAGGATGTGTCGCCACAGCAGGTACGAGTCGGGGAAGCCGTGCACGAAGATGGCTACGTTGCGGGGTGGAGGAGCGTCGGCGTTCGCGTTGACGACATAGTGGATGTTGACTCTGGTGGACGTGGTGAAGAAAGCGTGTCTGAAGCCTGGGAGCGGCTCGCGGTCGAGGGTCCAGTAGCTTTGCTGGGCTGGAACATGTCAGCCGCGTCCATGCCGCTGTTCTCTTGAACACAACGCACCGGCTTCTAGCTCCTTCTTCTCTTCGGCCGTGTCTCGAGGCTGCAAGACGCCATTCTTCCATGCAACCGTGACCCAAGTATAGCCCAGGCTGAAAAGTCCGAACCCAAGCTTGAAGACGAGCCAAGCCAAGCTCGCCAGCTTACCACTGGACTTCTTCGTCGTGAGGGCAGGAGAAGGAGGCATCGTCGTTGGTTGTTGCTACGCGACCCGCTGTGTGGAAGAAGAATTTCGAGAGAGTCGCGGTGTGGGGCGTTCACGGCGCGGCGATGACGGCCAGCAAACACACTCACCGAAGCAGCCGCGTTGGGCAGGTAGCTTCCATGGCGGCATGGGTGGAGATGGCAAGCACTGTGACATGTGCCCTTGCGTGTCAAGGGTCACATTGGGTGGTGATGGATGAGGTATGACGTGATTGGCCATAGCTCAGCATCCTGAGCAGTGGTCTTGTTAGAGGCATTGAATGCGGGGTCAGGTGAGCATCCAGTAGTCGCTAGTTTAAATGTCTGCAAACTGTTGTCACATATTCCTCGGTTCCACCACAGGGTGTGACGATGTCGCAGAGCTTTCAATAGAAGTTGCTGCCATCCAGGACGCTTGCTGCCACCCAGGACGCTTTCTGCCATCCAGGACGCTTTCTGCCATCCAGGACGCTTTCTGCCATCCAGGACGCTTTCTGCCATCCAGGACGCTTTGCGCCTTCAGGAGACAGAAGCACGCCGCCAAAGATGACTGAGTTCAGCTCTTGAACACAGTCTTGAGCGCCGTCCCGCCCTTGGTGCGCATCCCCGTGCTCCACTCTCTCCAACCTCCTAGTTCTCTGGGTATTAAAGCGTCACCTCCTCCCCTTCATCCTCTCCAGCACCCTAAGCTCCGCTTGCCGCTGTAACCTCAAATCGTCCAGCTCCCGCCTCACCCTGTCATTCGCCCTGACGGCCTTTTCTCTCGTCCGCATCCTGCGCCTGACCTCCTCAAGCCTGCTCTGCACCTCTGCGTCGACGGCTCGCTGTAGGGCCTTTACATCGCCGGGCGCAATGTCGCGCTCGGCCACAAACCGCAGCGCAAAGGCGCGCACGGCATGCGCACTCGGCCCGATGCCGCCCGTATGGTAGCCGTTGGCGTGGGTCAGCAGCAGCCCCGGTATGGGACTGGGGTGCGTGCGCAGGTGTGATGTGAGGGCGATGGGCAGATCGGCGGCGCTGATCATGGGCGGCTCGTCGGTCCTGCGGCGCGGCGAGGTGGCGGGCGGCGCGTGCAGAATGATGGCCATTAGCTCGTTCTCAAAGTCCTCGTTGTACGGGACTGTGTGCGGCGAGTAGTCGATTACGGGGGAGGTGGGCGACGAGGAGAGCCCGGGGGTGGGGAGGCGTGGGCGGGCGGGCGTGTCGGCGTCGGTCATGGTTGCGGGCGTGTCGACGTCGGTCATGGCTGTAGATGGAGGGCATGCGACGGCGATCTGACGGGTTTCGCGTTGCAGAACGGAGAGGGAGGCGGTGAGTGAGCGTTGCGACGGGAGGGTGTTGGTCGCATCGCGGTCGCCGTGTCCTAATCGATAAGAGAGGCCGAGCAGGCGCTTTGCGCCTTTCCCTTCCAGACACAGCCTTAATTACAGGACCGCGGAAGCAAGCAGACACAGTTCACACAACACCCAGAAGCAAGCAGATACAGTTCACACAACATACAGAACCAACCAGACACATCCGCATCCGCATCCACATCCGCATCCACATCCACATCCACATCCACAAACCATGGCCGACAAGCTCCGGGCCCAGCAGCAGCTCGAGGCGCTGCAAGCGCGATACATTGGCATCGGCTCAGCCGACACGAGCAAGCACGAGTGGACGTCGAACATGGCGCGGGACTCGCTCTCGTCGTTTGTCGGCCACCCGCCGCTGCTGCAGTACATGAGCATCGGGCTCGGGCAGCCGCGCGAGAAGACGCGGGTGCAGCTGCTGGAGCGCATGGTCAGGCCTGTGGGGCCGCCGCCCGAGGTGAGTGGACGGTCGAGCGTGGGTTGAGGGGCGTGGCTGATGGCGAACAGAGGGAGGATTGAGAGAAGCTGGAGAACAGTGGGAGGACGTTGGGATGACACGACGGCATGCCCATGCCGACCGCGGCAGGTCTACGCGCAAAGCAACACACAACACGCAACACGCAACGCGGCCACGGCCGAGCTAAGACCAGAAGCAGGACACGCGGTGAATGAGACAGGGTGGACAGGAAAAGTGACCAGGTATGGTGGACAGGAATGGTGGACAGGAAAGGCGAGGGCCTGGGCAGAGAGTCCGAGAGGTTGTGGGAAAGAGAGCAGCACATAGTCCATTCAATATGCATGCCAGTCCATTCGATATGCACGCCAGTCCATTCAATATGCATGCCAGTCCATTCAATATGCATGCCAGTCCGTTCAATATGCATGTCAGTCCATTCAATATGCACGCCAGTCCACTCAATATGCACGCCAGTCCACTCAATATGCATGCCAGTCCATTCAATATGCACAAGCCTCATCCACTCCATGCCGGTCCATGTTCAATACGCAGCCTCGTCCACTCCTCCCTCTACTCGCTGTCACTCGCACTCCCCGCGTCCCCCTCGTCGTCGTGCACGACATCGCCGCCCATCATCATGGCCACCTCGCCCTTGCGCAGCACCTCGCGCAGCTCGACATTGCGCGGGTCGACCAGCTCGCCCGGCTTCAGCTTGGCCTTGTTGCGTATCCGCGGGTCGCAGCCGGCGTCGAGCAGGATCTCGACGATCGGGGTGCCCGCGGGCCGCGCCGCGGGCGGCAGCGAGTTGGCGTAGCGCACGGCCTTGTGCAGCGGCAGGTCGCCCTCGATGCGGTCCGCGAGCTCGATCTCGAGGCCTTCCTGGTCGAGCAGCATGTCGAGCACTTCGTCTGCAGCGCGACTGGTCAGCATGTCTTCGAGTCTGTGTCCGTGAGGTCACGTACAGCTCCCGTAGCTCGCCGCGACATGCAGACACCCGTTGCCCAGGCCGTCGCGCGCGTCGTTGAGCACCTGCGCGACGTGGGCGGCGGGCGCCTTGCCGGCGGTGGACGCGGCCGCCGCGAGGTCGGCGATGGTTCCCTCGAGCAGGTCCGTGTTGTTGCGGCGGCAGGCTTCGAGGATGAGCTCGCGGGGAGACGCGCCCTGCTGCGTCAGCACCACTTGAACCACCCCGCTGCAGCGCGGCACCGTACCTCTTCATCCGCCATCTTTGGTCTCGTAGTCGTGTTTGGCGGGGTGGCGGCTGGTGGTGGCTTCGGCACTCGACGACGTGCTGCGGTATACCGTACAGCAGAAAGGGCGGGGGCAGGGACGACGCAGGAAACAGCTGAGGCGGAGGCGGAAGCAGAGGCAGAGGTGGAAGCAGAGGCAGAGGTGGAAGCAGAGGCAGAGGTGGAAGCAAAGGCAGAGGCAGAAGCGGAGGCAGAGGCGGAGACTGAGACTGAGGCAGTGCGACTCGCTCGTCAACTTGCGGTGACAGCCTCAATGTTTCATACGCGTTGGCGTCGAAACGTCGGCGCAGTGCATGGCCCCGCGCTCCTCCTTCGGGTCTAGTCAGGGTCCACTGTAACTTTCTCGCGCATCGTCACCCGCGCACTCGCACTCGAACTCCGACACCGATACCGACACCGATACCCACACCGATACATGCTCGCCGACGATGTTGCTCTGTACGCGCCCTTCCACCGTTCCCCCTCCCTGGTCTTAGCTAACGCCCCAGTCTGCCCCACATGCAGCAACATGCTACGCGTCTCGCGCGTGCCCCCCGGCGACCCAACGATCGAGCAATACGTCGGCCAGAACCGCTTCGAGTGCCTGACCTGCCCGTACCACTTCGTCATCAACAAGCGCTACTACGAGCGCAAGTACCTGAAGAAGAAGGAGGTCGAGGACATCCTGGGCGGCAAGGGCGCCTGGGACAACGTCGACAAGACCGAGGGTGCGTCTACCATTACTCTCCTTACCATTACTCTTCTTACCACGACTCTCCCTTCCATTACTCTTCTTACCATGACTCCTTCCCATGACTCTCCTTACCATTACTCTCCCTTCCATTACTCCTCTCACCGTTACTCTCCCTTCCATTACTCTCCTTACCATTACTCTTCTTACCATGACTCTCCTTACCATGACTCTCCCTTCCATTACTCTTCTTACCATGACTCCTTCCCATGACTCTCCTTACCATT